TGTCCAAAGGAGGGCCACCAGACTGGTGCCTGTTCTATGGAACCTCAGTTACCCAGAGAGATTAGAAAGCCTGCAACTACCTATAGCCTATACTGAGAGTTGTGAACTCTTGGCACAATCTACCAGAAAGTGTTGTGACGGCACCGAATGTGAGCTCTTTCAAGACCAGACTTGACCAACACTGGAGCAGGTTCAGGTACATTCGGGAGCCGGTGCATGCCCAGTACTTGCCAACAGGGCGTAACAAAGACATGACCGATCGCCCAAGCGACTAACGAGCCGATCATTTGGTGAAGAGGACAAAAGAAAAAGAAAAGTAACAGAGACGTGATCGATCGCCCAAGCGGCTAACGAGCCGATCTGTGGTGAAGAGGATAAAAGTAAAAAAATACTACAGACGGGCGAGGGGTGACCTAATTCGAAGTGTATAAACATCTCATGGGGCACTACTCGGTCGAATATACATACCTGGAGCTGGCGGACGTCCGCCCCACAAAGGGTCACAGCGCAAGGTTGAAGAAGACACGTCCAGAAAACTGAGGGCAATTTTTTTCGGAGTGAGAATTGTGAATTGGAACAATATGCCAGAGAGCGTTGTGGCGGCACCGAGTGTGAGCTCATTCAAGGCCAGACTTGACCAACACTGGAGCAGGTTCCGATATATTCAGGTGCCAGTGCATGTCCAGTATTTGCCAACAGTGTATCAGAGATATGACCGACCGCCCAAGCGGTTAACGAGCCGATCAGTGGCGAAGAGGATAAAAGTAAAAGTAAAAGTAAAATTTGAGTAGAATTGTAAACATATCCTTGTACAGTAAATATCTTAATGTGGAGTGCTAAGAGTGTGTCATGGGTTGCGTTAGGCTTGCCCACGCAACCAACTCCAAAGTTTGTTTTTCCAGAGATAAGACGCCAGGCGAGGCATAACTGGGACATGTATTTTTCAATTAGTGTATGTTAGCCAGCCTTTAGGGGGGTGGGCAGTGAAACAGTGTTGTACTGTTCATCGCTTCACACCCAAAAACCTCATTTAAGTAGTATCCCCTGAGCCATGGGTTAGTTAAGACGTCGTCTCCATCCTCTCCCTCCTGAAAGGTGGGGCGGGACACCACACCACACAGAGTCCTCCACCGCCACTCCGTCCTGTGAACCGTCGACGACACGAGACTAAGCGTGTTAACCTAGGTTGTTATCCCCGAGGAAATATCATGTGTGGATGCCTGGTTGCGACAAGAGCAATCCAGGCTGGCCTATCAAACCTACGGTAAATGGTTAATTAATTCACGCTTACAGAGTTGTCCTGCACGACACCCGTCTACAGTGACCGTGATCGACACGAGACTAAGTGTGTTAACCTAGGTTTGTTATCCCCGTGGAAATATCACGTGTGGAAGCCTGGTTGCGACAAAAGCAATCCAGGCTGGTCTATTGCACCTAAATGGTTAATTCAAGTCACGCTTACCAGTTCTCCTTGCCGCGATAACCGTCTACAGTGACTGTCAGTGACGAAAGACTATGTGTGGTAACCCAAGAGTACTTTTTGTTGTTATGGCCATGGAAAGAAGTTCTTGTGATGAAGCCTGGTTGTAACAAAAGCAATCCAGGCTGGCAGTAAATGTATCAATTGAAGAATTAGGGCTCTGTTAAGTCATACCTACAATAGAGTAATCACACTTGTTCCCAAGTTGATAATTACCTCTTTTAGAAGATTAATTTTGGTACAGCGTGAACGTGAGTGACTCATATATCCATGCAAATTGTAAATCATTGTATGGAAGCTTGACAAATAAATGTAAGTGCAATTATCTGCCCGTTTCTGTGATCCTATCTTATTATTACTAAAGGTAATGACTGATTGGTTATGACATAGTATAACCAATAACTTAGATGGATGTTGAAAATTAAATGAATTCATTAAATCATCATTTATCAAGTATAAATCATGGAATGTCGAGTGGTGGAGTGAACTTCTACGTAGATACACCATAATCTCCTGTAAGTAATCAGTGTGAAGGTATCGAACTCTACGGTAAGAGATAAGAAATACGACAAATTATTATCTTTATATAATATAATCCACTCATACTACCACCGATTCATACCAAAACCATGACAGAGTGTATGGCACAGGGTGCGTGACGCATGGTGTTCGAAGCTCTACTTCAGTATGTGTGATAAACACACACACACGGACAAGGAAACAAATATGAGATTGTGAAAACAGAGAAGGGATTCGTATTCATAGTGCAATGGCGGAGCTAAAATTATACGCAAATTCGTAAAAACATGCGTAAGAAATTCAGGGCTACCTTCGTTTCAGCTTCCAGCACGCAGACTAAATATCACCTCAATTATTCTGCTCCATATAGCTTTAATGGTGCATCATTATCATGTTTTGAGACGCGAGGCGCCGCATTACGGAGGAGGGCGCCTTGCTGAGATAAACTGGTGCACGCTGCCTGGCCCGCAGGGTGCCACCTATCTTCCTCTAAACTCTACCGTCTTCTTTTGCGGACTTTCTATTTCTCAGAAACTCTTTTCATGCCGCCTCTCTCCAGTGCCGGCACCGAGGAGAGGAGAGGAGAGGAGAGGAGTGGTGGATCATGTACCACCTCTAGAACTTGACGAGAAAAGTGGTGGTGATGTTCCATCTCTCTTCTGTGTCTTTCCATTTTTTATTTCTGTCAAAGTTTGTAGGCCATTAACAGTTTGTTCTGTTTCCCGCCAACATGTCGCCGTCACACACCCACCGCATTCATGTTACAGTGTACCAAGTAACTCACGTGGATGTGGCGACACGTGTCATCACGAGCCGGGTGATGATGGATAAGGATATCTTTCAAAGGAATCCAGGAAATTTTAAGGGATGTTACCCAATAGAGAAGTCAGCAGCAGATGGTTAAACTTGCTTTCGTAGGCACTGGTTCTTTAAAACCAAACATATCAGTGAAGATCCTATAAAAAAATAGTCTGAAATAACCTTCATGACGACCTTCTGGAAAACAACGGGATATGCCTAAGTGACTTGGAAGCACATGAATTTACCCTGATGACATTCATAAATAAATAAATTAACACACACACACACACATAAGATACACAATTCTCCACAGCGGGACACCTGCCATCCACTCTTCCTCCCACCCAGGAGGAGGCGAGCGCCATGTTAACAATGTCATCTCGGACCACACCCTACAAACCACAAGGGATACAGTAAACGAGGCAGCTGCAAAGAATGGAGGGGGCCCGAGTCAATACCAAGACCAGAAATATTACAGAGGACAATTTCCAGCTTGAAAGGCATGTACACTAATACTGACACGTTCCTCGACAAGAGAGCGGAGTTTGAGTTGAGTTGTTAAATCTTGGAACAATCTACCAGAAAGTGTTGTGTCGGCACCGAGCGTGAGATCTTTCAAGACCAGACTTGACCAACACTGGAGCAGGTTCAGGTACATTCAGGAGCCGGTGCATGCCAGTATTTGCCAACAGTGCGTAACAGAGAAGTGACCGATCGCCCAAGCGGCTAACGATCCGATCAGTGGTGGAGGATAAAAGTAAAGTAAATTGAAGAGCAGACTTGACCAACACTGGAGCAAGTTCCGATATATTCAGGAGCCAGTGCAGGCCCAGTATCTGCCAACAGTGTGTATCAGAGACGTGACCGACCGCCCAAACGTTATAGGATTATCTAACAACGAACTTTGTAAGGACTTGGGATATGAGCCAGCAGGGCACTAGAGGGAGTGAACACAATTTTATGGCACCTGGTGTCCGTGGTCAAGCGAAAAACTTGTTTCTTTGCAGTTATAAAGGATTGGAATAAGTTACCTGGCCAGATTATAGTCAGTAATGTGATCATATAATTCAAAGCAACAATTAAAACATACCCTGTATGTAACCGATAAAGCTACAGCACGAGAAAAGAATGAGTTTGTTATTAATCATAAACTGTTGTATTGTTGAAGTGATCCATCAGCCTCGGATAGTCCAAGAGCAATTTAATTATGTAATATTTATAACCAAACATTCACTTTTATTCCTCAAGATTTTTTTTTTTACTTTATTTCCCTAATGGGCACCCAAATTAGAGGTGGCCCTGTCGAAGGAAGCCAGTGGCCTGTATAGGATCCCTCCATTGTTCTTGGTAATCTCAAGGGCTATTTTGAAGCCTATACTCTTCTCGGTTCCAAACCTTAAGCTGGTAGCCTGTTCCACAGATCTTCCAGCCTCTATGTGAAGAAGTATTTCCTTATATTCGTTCTACATGATATCTTGACAAGCTTGAAATTATGTCTCCTCGTGTTGGTGGTGCGTGACATCACGGTATAAAGGCTGGGCCTAAGGGGCCATAGACCCCACCCCCCTTTCCGTGAAAGAGAGATTAGAACGCCTGCAATTTCAGTTGCTATCAAACAGGGAGATACTTGCCAATAGTGCGTAACAGTAACATGATCGACCACCTAGGCGGCTAACAGACCTATCAGTGGCGAAGAGGATAAAGTAAAGTAAACTGTTAATGCAAGGAAAAAAAAAGATGAGTTTGGTATTCTCTCACAACGGTCTTTTCTGGACGTTGTACTCGATCGTTGAAAAACGAAGACGGCGTATAAAACAACTGTATCTGGAAAACCTAGTTTTTTCATAAATTGACCAGCATGTAATCAGAAAGTCCATGTAAATTAATATGTATTCATGATTCATTATAACTTGTGGTCGATATAAAAAGGCTTGGTGGTTATGGTGGTAGAGCCGCGAAGCAGTAATTACGACTCACTTTGTCAAAAGTGATCAACTTATTCAGGAACATATTAACTTGGAATCTGGATTCTAATCATGTGGCTAATCAGTCATAATGTGGGCCCACGTGTGTGGTGGGTGGTATCGTCTGCCACACCCCGCGGTGAAAATCGCCTTTGATGAGCATGGATTGAACCAAGCTGATGGGCTCCTTCCAGATATTAGAGGCATCATAGCCTGCGTCTTGGTAGTGAGGGGCTTGAGACGCTCAGAAGAGGGTGTACGTTGAGTCAAGTAAGATTCAGACTTCATTTCAGAATAAGAAACCACAAGCCACTCACAGCGTCAATCAAGAATCACATACCTGGCCAATCAAGAGTTTCTTACGAGTTTTCACGATATGTTGGTCTTCCAGGTGAGTACTGTACTAAGGTATTGGGTTCCAACATGAGGTTCGATCTCCCGGTTACCAGTTAGCATCGAGGGCAGAGCCAGCTATTTCAATACTCAATATTTCGTGATTTATTCGTCAGTCAGGAAAGCACATTTTTAGAGATGAAAACAAATGTTATATCTGAATGCTCTAAACCTTCTCGTGTAATGCGCGTCTAAAATTCGATATAACGTAATATCAATAATTCATTTAAACCCTAAAAATTTCTTGCCATTTTAATGGTAGTTAACATTTTAGTTTAGTGGAAAACTCAATTTTCTATTTAACTGCGACATCTTTAAATGCGACTATTGCGTTCATCCCTTCAGTAACAGAAGCAAATAAACATTTTCGCTGCAGACCCCTGGAGAAATTAATCATTCGATATTTGTATGTTTTGTTTTGTTTTTACTTTTATCCTCTTCGTCACTGATCGCCTCGTTACCCGCTTGGGCGGTCGGTCACATCTCTGTTACGCACTGTTGGCAAGTACCGGCTCCTGAATGTATCTGAACCCGCTCCAGTGTTGGTCAAGTCTTGTCTTGAAAGAGCTCACACTCGGTGCCGTCACAACATGTTCTGGTAGAATGTTCCAAGAGTTCACAACTCTCACTCCGAAAAAGTTTGCCCTCACAGTTTTCTAGACTTGCGGCTTCTTCAATCTTGAGCTGTGACCCCTTGTGGGGCGAACGTCCGCCAGCTCCAAGTAAGGACACTCGACTGAGTAGTGCCCATTGAGATGCTTATACACCTCAATTAGGTCACCCCTTGCCCGTCTGTAGTATAAGCTAGGCAAGTTTATGAGTTCCAATCTCTCAGGGTAGCTGAGGTGCCGAAGGGCAGGCACCAGTCTGGTGGCCCTCCTTTGAACATTTTCAACCAACTGACAAGTCCTTAGCATATCTCGGGGACCAGACGGGGTGACAGTACTCCAGATGGGGAAGCCCTTCACTCTTGGAGATCGTTACGAGGGACGGACCGTCTAGATATCTGAACGACCTCCTTATAAGACCCAATAATTTATTTGCCTCATTTACCTTCTTCTCGCAATGGCCCGAGAACTTCAGCTCATTGTCAACGTACACACCTAGGTCCTTCTCACATTCAGTCTCAAACAGTGCAGTTTCTTCATCCCGTTGGGACATATGATACGTCTCCTTATCGTTGGTACGCCCCAGGTGCATCCTCTTACACTTCGTGATATTGAGTCTCAGCAGCCATTTCTTCGACCATTCTTGGAGCCCACAGAGGTCCTTCTTCAGCTCTTCAAAGTCCGCTAGGTTCTTGATTTCCCGAAATAACTTGGCGTCATCGGCAAACATTTATATGGAGGAGTGTTCAACGTCAGGCATATCATTGACTGAGTAGTGCCCTTTGAGATGTTTATATACCTCAATTAGGTTTCCCCTCTTGCCCGTCTGTAGTATAAGCTAGGCAATTGCAGGCGCTCTAATCTCTCAGGGTAGCAGAGGTGTAAAATTAAATTAAAGGGAGGGGACTTACTTATTGTCGGGTGTATCTACAGATTCCTAAACTGTAGCCTACCAAACCAAAGGAACTTAAGAGACTTGATAGACAACGCAGCGATGCTCAACCCTAGCCATCTCCTTATCATGGGGGACTAACTATGGCGACATCGACTGGAGAAACGAGTTCACCCCAAATGACTCGAATAACCCTGCAACTCTTTTTGTAGAAACTCAGAGTTAATTTTCTGTTCCAACATGTTAAAGACCCGACACATTACAGAGGGGAGCAAACACCCAAGCAACTAGACCTCATCATAACAAACGAAGAGGGTATGGTGGCCAAACTGGAACATCTAGCCCCAGTTGGCACCAATCACCATGTAGTGTTGTGATTCCGATTTAACCGTTACCTCGTTCATGATAAAGCCAGGCCAAGGTGCAAATATTACAAGGGAAATTACGACGGGATGAGGGAAGAGATGAGGGGCATCCACTGGCCTAACTCAATAAGGCACAAGAACGCAGACACTATGCTGAATATCATAACTAGTAAAGTGACCCATTTGATCGATAAATATATACCCACACAGGGCCAGGGGGCAGCAGCGCACCCTCCACCCGCTCTAACCCCCACCCGGGAGGCGGTACCAGCTCCGCCTACCGGACAGGAGGAGGCGAGCGCCGTGTAAACAATGACATTTCTAACCACACCCTGCAAAATACAGTGTACTTAGCAAATGCTGCAGCTTCTGAGAATGGGGGGGGAGGGGAGCGGGGTTACTACTAAGAGCAGAGACGTCACCGAGAACAAATTCTGGCTTGAATTTCATGTGCACTAATACTGACACGTTTCTCGATAAGAGAGAGGAGTTTGAAACACTACTAAGAGTACACCAACCAGATATCGTAGGAGTTGTAGAACTGTTGTACAAGAACAGGAGAATCGACCCAGAGGAATGTGAGTTCAGTATTGCTGGATATGACTCATTTATGAACCTTTCTCAAGAAACTTGCAAGAGGGGTGTGGTTATCTATGCTAGGCAAGACCTTAGAGCCAGCCAGGCGAGGGTACAGGGAGAGGATGTTTTTGAAGAGTTCAAGTTGGTGTAAAATTAAATTAGAGGGAGGGGACTTACTTATCGTCGGGTGTATCTACAGATCCCCAAACTGTGGCCCACTAAATCAAAGGAACTTAAGAACCTTAATAAACAACGCGGCAATGCTCAACCCTAGCCACCTCCTTATCATGGGGGACTTTAACTATGGCGACATCGACTGGAGAAACGAGTCCACCCCAAATGACTTAAATAACCCTGCTACTCTTTTTGTAGAAGCTCTGAGAGATAATTTTCTGTTCCAACATGTTAGAGACCCGACACATTACAGAGGGGAGCAAACACCCAAGCCACTTGACCTCTTCATAACAAACGAGGAGGGTATGGTGGCCAAACTGGAACACCTTGCCCCAGTTGGCACCAATCACCATATAGTGTTGTCATTCAGATTTAACCGTTACCTAGTTCAGGATAAGGCCAGGCCAAGGTGCAAATATTACAAGGGAAATTACAATGGGATGAGGAAAGAGATGAGTGGTATCAACTGGCCTGACTCATTAAGGTACAAGAACGCGGACACTACGCTGAATATCATAACTATTAAAGTGACCCATTTGATAGATAAATATATACCCAAGACCAAACCCAGTGCTTCTAGGAATACGAGGGCATCCCTACACATGAACCATGCGGCGGTCGACAAAATTAAGAAGAAAACCCAGAAATTCAAGACTTGGGTTGGGTCAAACGATGAGCAAGACAGGAGGATGTATGCAAGAGCCAGAAACCAAGCAAAGATAGAGTGTAGGAGGGCTGAAAAGGAGTTCCAGAGGCTGGTTGCAAGCGAGGTCAAGTCAAACCCAAAGGCGTTTTACCGGTATGCAAAGTCGAAATTGAAAATGCGAGTAGGAGTATCAGACCTGAGATTGTGGATGGTAGTTATGCAGATTCTGACCAGGATAAAGCCGAGGCATTGAACAGCTTCTTTTCCTCAGTGTTCACAAGAGAGGATGCAACTAACCTTCCTGCGTTTGAGGAGAGACGGTTCGACACAGCACTGACCCACATTGTGTTCACAGAAGAGGGTATTAGAAATAAACTGTCCAGGCCAACGGTCCATAAGAGTCCCGGCCCTGACATGGTGCATCCTAGAGTGCTAAGAGAGTTGTGCAACGAGCTTGCAGAGCCCCTGAAGATCCTGTTTTGTAAATGCCTGGATTAACAAATGGTCCCCAGTGAATGGAAAGTGGCTTATGCGAGTCCTATCTTCAAGAAGGGCGATCGGCACTCCACGAACAACTATAGACCAGTGAGCCTGACCAGCATAATATGTAAGGTACTTGAGAGTATTATCAGAGATGCCGCAATGGAACATCTAATACGAAACAATCTTGTAAAGGATTGCCATCACGGTTTTATGCCGGGGCGCTCCTGCTTAACACACTTGCTCAAGGTATTGGATATTTGGACCCATATTCTGGAAAGGAGTGGTAATATCAACAATATTTACCTAGATTTTGCCAAGGCTTTCGACAGTGTACCCCATGAAAGGCTGAAAATCAAACTGGAAGGGTACGGAATTCGGGGAAATGTCCTTGCATGGATAGAAGACTTTCTACATGACCGCAAGCAGTGTGTGGTGATTAATGGCACGAAATCATCATCCGTACCTGTCACAAATGGGATACCACAGGGCAGTGTATGGGGCCCGCTGTTGTTTGTTTGTTTGTTTCATAAATGACATGCCTGACGTTGTACACTCCTCCATACAAATGTTTGCCGATGACGCTAAGTTATTTCTGGAAATTAAGAACCAAGCTGACTGTAAAGAGCTGCAGAAGGACCTCCGTGGGCTCCAGGAATGGTCAAAGGAATGGCTGCTGAGATTCAATGTCACGAAGAGTAACGGGATGCACAAGGGGCATACCAACGGTAAGGAGGCATATCGCATGTCCCAACGGGATGAAGAAACTGCACTAGTTGAGACTGAATGTGAGAAGGACCTAGGTGTGTATGTTGACAATGAGCTGAAGTTCTCGGGCCATTGTACGAAGAAGGTAAGCCAGGCAAATAAATTATTGGGTCTTATAAGAAGGTCATTCAGATATCTAGACGGTCCGTCCCTCGTAAAGATCTTCAAGAGTGAAGTGCTTCCCCATCTGGAGTACTGTCACCCCGTCTGGTCCCCGAGATATGCTAGGGACTGTCAGTTGGTTGAAAATGTTCAAAGGAGGGCCACCAGACTGGTGCCTGCACTTCGGCACCTCAGCTACCCTGAGAGATTGGAGTGCCTGAACTTGCCTAGCTTATATTACAGACGGGCAAGGGGTGACTTAGTTGAGGTGTATAAGCACCTCAAGGGGCACTACTCAGTCGAGTGTCCTTACTTGGAGCTGGCGGACGCTCGCCCCACAAGGGGTCACAGCTGAAGATTGAAGAAGCCGCAAGTCCAGAAAATTGTGAGGGCAAACTTTGTCGGAGTGAGGGTTGTAAACTCTTGGAACAATCTACCAGAGAGTGTTGTGACGGCACCGAGTGCGAGCTCTTTCAAGACAAGACTTGACCAACACTGGAGCGGATTCAAGTACATTCAGGAGCCGGTGCATGCCCAGTATTTGCCAACAGTGCGTGACAGAGACGTGACCGATCGCCCAAGCGGCTAACGAGCAGATCAGTGGCGAAGAGGATAAAAGTAATATAACTTTAATTTTTCTTTGGTGATCTCGGCATAATGCCAAAGATGTCTTGAACATACTTAGAATTCGACCAACCTGACAATAATTTTGGATATTACATAACTAAAAACCCTTCAGCTTATTCTCCCTTAGCTACAACCAGGTTCACAAAGCTACAGATTAAAGTTTCATTGAAATTAAAATTTTATTCAGATTTTCATAACATTAGGCATTTTGCATAAACAATATCTATCATTTTACTGACTTATGTTGTGTACGACAGGGGTCAGCGGTGGGCAGGGCATGCGTGTGGCTCCTCCTCCTGGCTGGACTGGTCTGTCCTGTGAGTATATTAACATCTAAAATTGTTGAGGGCAGAGGAGTCTATTGAATGTTGTTCTTCATATGTTTAGTAATACAGTAATCTTATTGTGTTACTAGTATTTCAGAATTGCACTAAGGTTATATATTATTATATGGGTTTTTAATGGCAAAAATGTACTTAAAAGGAACATATTATGTTATTAATTATTGATGTTGTCCTGTGTAGAATCATCAGGTGGCAGGGTATTTCTACAAGATTCGCTCAGGAACTCAGAAGGAGTTTGAGCTTATCAATTGTAAACAGTTTAACAAGACATACTACACTGAGCTCTCCCGCGTTTGTGACGACTGCCAAAACATATACCGCAAGTACTATAATGTCGGGGTTGACTGCAAGTGAGTATGCTAAAGCATTTTTTTAGCTTGTAGTTATGTCCCCTCTTGTTGGCGGTATTTGACATCACAAAGAAATGTCCCAGGTTCATGTTTTCCATCCCTTTCAGGATATTGAATGTTTCAATGAGATCTACTATTGTGCCTTGTCTGAAGGGTTGTTAGTCCTAATGCCCTCAGTCTGGGTAAAAAGTATTTTGATTTAGGGAGGCAGAGGAGAAAGCACACAACTTACTACTGTATATTACTGGAGTGTGAAAGACAATCAGCATTCTCAGGTGAATCACACTGCTTGGTTAGGCCAATCATGTCTCATGAGGATACATTACCTTACCCGCAATTGTTTGCTCCTTCACAGCTTGTCCATTTTTTTTATTTTTAAATTTACAGTAAACGTTACTTACAATAATATATGCAAATACACATGTACAGTTGGGGTCAAAAGTTTGCTCCCTTCCAAAGTAAAGCAGCATCAACCCCAAACGAGATACAACAGTTTGGGCAAGTCAGTTTGGAGGCTCTTTCCCATGGCTCAGTTTCACCACGGGGAGTGAACTTTTGTCCATGACTGTGTAGTTGTGCATCCCCAAAGTCACAGTGTGAGTTGGTAAAGACACCGCCACTACTAGCAGAGTAGTGTGAAAAGTGTACAGTACGTGTACTTCATAAATTTATTCTGAAGCTGTACATTCCGCTCTTATGTACAGTATCTGAATAAGGGTATAGTGGTGTGGAGGATGTAGTCATGGTGTTGGGGTTTGACAAATACCCTCTGTTGCCTGGGAGTGTTTTGCTGTTGTCTTGGGTTTGCCCTACGTTCTAATTTTTACTGGCCCTTACTGTATACTGCATCTGTAGTTCTGCTTTACTGTAAAATACAATAAAAGAAGTTGTAGGCCCGCTAACATTACATTTTCTCCCAGCTTCCTTCATGGTACATGTATATACACAGATTTTTCCATGGAAATTGAATTACAGTACAGTACAGTACTGTATTTTTGCTCATGATCCTTAATATCCAATGTGGTACAGTACAGTATAGTAAAAAGTAGCACAGTATAACCTAGTTGGTGTGTCATGGGGCAGTACATATAACTATTAAATTGCAAACTAGGAAACAATGGAAGTAAATGGTGTACTGTACTGTACTGAAAAAATGTGTATGTTCTATGTGGAGGGAATGGTGTGTTATTCTGCTGTTTTGTTTGTACATTAATTTCATTATCTTTATTTTGTAATACAGTTAACAAAATTGTTACAATATACGAAAAAAAATCACTTTTTCTAGCACAACTGACTTTAGTGACATCATTTATTTGAACAATTGTGCTTCAGTCTGGATTATAATTACAGTACAGTACTTACATAGAGATCCACATTTGACATAATGTAATCAGGATGATTGTTGAATGTTTGGGTTAAGACAATGTATTTAATTTGACAATCTGAATTATGACACACAGCTTACCTATGATTTATATTATGCTCTGCACTCACCTGATTTATATTTTCACTTTCTCAGAAAAGACTGCTTCGACAACGAATGGTTCCCAAAATGTGTGACATATATTGAACATGATCATCTTTTGGAGGAGTACAAGAAAATGAAAGAGTATCTCAATCTCAGAGACCTATAAACTTTTAACAAAAGGAAGGAAGCTGTTTTGGTAACCAAGCTGTTCAATTTCTTCAAATGCTAGTGAATACAATACTCATTTTCAGTGCTTGAGGGATGAGGTCTTATGGGATCTTTTATTCATTACATCTGTTTTGTGAGCATATTTTAAAATAAACTGCAGTTGTACTGTATTTTTATGGGTAGTCTTCAGACCAAGTCAACTTACATTATTGAATTGTAAAGTTAAGTAAAAACCAATGAGACAGTTGTATTATTTATGTTTTTCATGATGAAACAGAATTACATAACAAATTCAAAAGATTAACTTGAATAAGTTCATTGACTAGATATGACTTATTGTTGCTAAAATCTGAATTACACAAGTGTGTTCAGAGGAGAACCATCTCATATTCGTGTTGGACTAAACCCACAGTATCATACAATAACAAAGCCTATTTCTTAAATTATCTAAAAACTTGGAGATAAAATGTGACATCTTTTAATTATAGAAACTTTTATGCAAGAATACAATGTAATGAGAGTGAAAGACTGTACAGTACTGTATTATTATACAGTACTGTACTGTAGTAATAAATGCTGTACCTGTATTTTCTAACATTAATGTGAGTGACTATACGGCTGAAGACTTTATTCTAAATACCGTAGTCTTACAAAAGGACGTTATTCTACTGTGAATCTTCATAAAACTGAATTTATATTATTACGAACACCAATTTCACTCAGCACAATTGTTGACACAGGCTGTAGTCATAACTCTTATCCAAGAAAATATTTTAACCAGTGGTATATGATGCTGCATATTTTAGGTTAAAGCTTAACTCACGAGGTGACATTACAGGGAGTAACATAAATTTACCGTAGTTTCAAACTCACTTCTTTAACCAGGGTATTAATATAAATTTTGTTGAGAATGGTTTTAAGAATTATGTAAATTTTTTGTTTTTATATCTAACATGTGAGAACTTCGTCCTCTAATTATTGTATGCAAGTTTACCCTAGTCACATCAGGTATTTTTATCAAATAAACACTATGATGCATATACTGTATTAAAAGTTCATTCACATCTCAAGAACATGGCATGGCATAATGTTCAGTGTATAAATACTGTATCCACCTTCCCTTCAAATGAATTATGTAAAACATTTGCAACAGACTTGTGTTATTATATACATTATTAATGTAATAATGCACTGTAAGAGATTCCATTATTTATTGCATAAATAAAAATGCATTTGCAATATCTGTTTCATTATATAGTCTTCAAATATTTAACTTATTGAAATTTACTGGAAATAATAATTATACTGTACAGTACGTCCAACTTACATCAGGCAGGATTATGGGAAAACTTTCATCGTGGGCCTCCCACAGCAAGTGAGAGCAATCTCGTTCACAGGGCCGTCAAACGTTTAAAGTTACGTTCATAAAGAGTCAAGGTAGTGCAAGAGCTGCACCCGTTGGACACAGACAAGCGTGTTCCCTACTGCCGTTGGTTCAACAGGTTCACACACTTCGTGTTTTCTTCTTTCCTTGTGGTTATCAAACATACTTCGTGGTTTCTTCTTTCCTTGTGGTTATCAGCATATATATATATAAATACATGCATATATATCTTGATAAAATCACACGGGAAAAGGGAAACAACGGAGCACCGTTGTTTCCCTTTTCCCGTGTGATTTTATCAAGATTTATCTTATCCACGTTTTCATTGTGGATCTACATGAAAGATATATATATATATATATATATATATATATATATATATATATATATATATATATATATATATATATATATGTAATATTCAGAAATTTCAGAGTAATTTCAAATGCCCCGCCATTAGCGATACTGATCGTTCAAGGTCGTCTGAGGGAAGAGCGCATACAAATTACCCGGTCTGAATATAATTTACATTGCTGGAATTCTTATAATTTGATGATCATTTTGAATATAAACATCATATTTTTGCATTAGACATACAAATTTTAGATAAAAATTTTTCTCAAATTAACTATGTTATCTTTTGTGCAAAATATATGACATTTATATTCAAAATATTCCTGTTAAAAACCCTGGAAGGGAGGATTGGTGGGGGGTGGGGGGGAGGGTTGGGACTGACCACGCGGTTGGAAGAGGGGGGGAGGCAAGGTTGAGTCCATTATTTGAATGGACATTAACTTGGCGACTGTATTTCTTTATTTCTCTTAAGTATTAATTGTGTGCATGTACCATCATAAAATTAAGATGTTATTTTTACTACAACATAGGTATGTGCCTTCAAAAAGTGGAGTTTGGGGGTCGGGCTGGTTTCTGTTGGAATTAATCCCATATGTTCTGTTGTTCACTTAACGCGGATTTCACTTAACGCGGGACCCTCTGGGTTCAATTGACCGCGTTAAGTGGGGTACAACTGTACAATGAAATACAGTACAGTAAAAGTAATGAATAATGAGGAATGGATACAGTACAGTGAAAGTAATAAATAATAAGGAATGAGCACTTACCTTTAATGTAGTCAGCTGAATGCACATGGGGCCCCCATAATTTTCTAATTATACATGGAGACTACATTAACTGGAAACATTTCGGTATAGAAAATGTGTGTGTCATTTGAAGAAAATTTTTTTATTTTTATTTATTTTTTTTTTTTTTTAATAAAAAATCTGCGGCGGTCATAAGTCCCGACGGTCGTAAGTCCACTTAGTCGTAAGTCGGGGTCTAGGTGTATATGTAATATTCAGAAATTTCAGAGTAATTTCAAATGCCCCGCCATTAGCGATACTGAGCGTTCAAGGTCGTTTGAGGGAAGAGAGCGCTCCCCACACATAGTGGGAGTTTGTGGAACTAGGCCTATATGATATTAAATGTAATTTGCCGAATTAATAATGATGCGATTCATGAAGTTAAGGGACTATTATTGAATTTGAAATTATTATAGATCGTTTATCAGTCTGAATAATGTTACGGGTGTCCCAAGGAGTTATTAGTTAGGCGGAAAATATGTCACGTAGGCCTAAGCTAACGCCTTGAGAGGACACGAGGCGGGCTCTCTCTCTCTGTCACGGGGAGCATTCAGACAAACAAGACGTCCCTGCGCGTCCGTCACAGAAATAGCCACGTGGCCTAGTCACCTGTGTTGCACTATTGCAGTATAACAAGTAAGTCTCATTCGATCTCAGACAGGGTTAGATAGGACAGTGGTAAAGTAAACTAGAGCTAACAGTGAGTTCATTTCAGGGTTTCCGCCAGAACCCACTTGACCGGAGTTTGACTGCGAGAGATTGACTGCCGTTTGAGACTGCCGTTGATGATTGAGGGTGGCGATTGTCGCCATTGGACCGATCAGTGTAGGCCTGTCACTGTTTAGCGGGGTATCAAAGGATCTCTTGAGGGAATCTAGCCGTCTGGGTGCCCAGCTGACGACAGGACGATCGTTGGGGCATCAGCCCTCCTCTACCTCGGCTCACAACCCCACATGTCTCGAGCAGCTTAGTGAAACCCTCTTGCTAACGGGAAGCTAATGCTTCTCT